AAGAGTCTCTAAGGGCCGAGTGCTGGTGGTTCACGCCTGTAATCCTAGCTACTCAGGAGGCTGAGATCTGAGGATCTCGGTTCAAAGCCAGCCTGGGCAGGAAAATTTGTGAGACTCTTATCTCCAATAAACCACTAGAAAACCAGAAGTGGTTCTGTGGCTCTAGTGGTAGAGCGCTAGCCTTGAGCTGAAGAGCTGAGGGACAGTGCCGAAGCCCAGAGTTCAAGCCCCGTGACAGACAAAAAAAAAAAAAGAGTCTCCCGAGGGGGTGGGAATGTGGCTCAGTGGTGGAGTGCTTGCCCTAGCATGCATGAAGCCCTGGGTTCCATTCCTCAGTACCACATACACAGAAAAAGCCAGAGGTGGTACTGTGGCTCAAGTGGTAGAGTGCTAGCCTTGAGCAAAAAGCAGCTCAGGGACAGTGCCCAGACCCTGACTTCAGTCCTCAGGACTGAAAAAAAAAAAAAAAAGAGTCTTAGGCCCAGTATTGGCGCTCACACCTATAATCCTAGCTACTCAGGAGGCCAAGATCTGAGGATTGAGGTTTAAAGCCAGCCCTAGCAGGAAAGGCCCCATGAGACTCTCAGATGCTCATTTCCAATTAACCACTCAAAAACTGGAAGTGGTGCTGTGGCTCAAAGTGGTAGAGTGATAGTCTTGAGCAAAAGAGCTCAGGGGCAGCGCCTGGGCCTTGAGTTCAAGCCTAATGACTGACCAAAAAAAAAAAAAAAATCTTTTGGACTTTCCTGCCCAGGCTGGCTTTGAACCATGATCCCCAGACCTCAGCTTCCTGTGAGATTCTTATCTGCAATTCCCCAGCAAGAAGCCAAAAGGGGTGGTAGCTCAAGAGGTAGAATACCATCCTTGAGTGAAAAAAGCTAACGGATATTGCCCAGGCTGAGTTCAAGCTCCAGTACTGCACCAACCAAAAGAAGAAGGAGAAGGAGGAGGAGAAAGAGGAAGAAGAGGAGGAGGAGGAAGGGGAAGAAGGAGGAAGAAGGAGGAGGGAGGAGGAGGGAGGAGGAGGAGGAGGAAGAGGAGGAGGAGGAGGAGGAAGAAGAGGAGGAGGAGGAGGAGGAGGAGGAAGAGGAGGAGGAGGAGGAGGAAGAGGAGGAGGAAGAGGAAGAAAGAAAAACAACTTTGGGTCTCAGTTTCCTCATCTGGTATGATGAAGATATCCTTTTTGTGGGCAGACTGGAAGACTAGATGCCAAGGGCATTGTCCCTAGGTAACACATGGGAGGTTGGGAGAGGGGACACAGCAGGCTCAAGGCGCATGTCAGGGCAGGGACCAGGCTCATTTCCTGGGGCCATCCAACCTGAGTTCTTTTCTCCTCGCTCTGGCCTTGTCCAGGCCCCTTGAGGCTGTCTGGGAGAAATGAAGGGAAGGGAGGACTCCGCCCAGTGCCAGCCCCCCACTGGTAGTCAGGCTGCTTCCCAGAAGGACAGATGTTTTGCCAAATGGCAAAGGCACGTGCCTCCCCAGCTTGGGGAGGAGGTGGGCGCTGAGAAGGAGATGCCAGCTGGCTGGGCACAGAGAACCCGCAGCCATACCTGAGAGATTTAAATAACCACCGCCTTCCTGTGTGGCCAGCTGGAGGGAGGCATCTGGACACGGTGGGGGGGGGAGGGACAAAAACCCCGAGGATTAGCACAACCCCTTTTTCCCAGAGGGCATCTAGTCTCCCCTGGCCTCAGGCTCCATCACCTTTGTGTCTGGGGGACACCTGACAGGAGGAGAGCATGCTGACCACCTGGGAGGTGCACAGAATTTGTGGGTTAGCTTTTTCATAAGAGCACTCAGTGTGGCTTTGCGCGCAGGATGTAGGTAGCAGGCTTCGCTCCTGTGTTATTTAGTTCATGCTGCTCACTTTCAAGTCCCCCATGAACCTTGGTGTCTTTATTTTGGTGGTGGTGTTGGTTATGGGGCTTGAACTCATGGCCTTGGCGCTGTCCCTGAGCTCTTCAGCTCAAGGCTAGCATCTACCACTTTGAGCCACAGCACCACTTCCAGTTTTCTTTTATTTATTTATTTTTGAGTCCAGTCATAGGACCTGGGTGCTGTCCCTCAGCTCTTCAGCTCAAGGCTAGTGCTCTACCATTTGAGCCACAGCACCACTTCTGGCTTTTTTCTTATGTGGTGCTGGGGAATCGAACCCAGGGCCTCATGCATGCAAGGCAAGCGCTTGAGCCACCTTCCCAGCCCCTCACTTCCAGTTTTCTGATGGTTAATTGGAGATAAGAGTCTCATGGATTTTCCTGCCTGGGTTGACTTTAAACTGGGATCCTCAGATCTCAGCCTCCTAAGCAGCTAGGATTATAGGTGTGAGCCACCAGCATCTTGCTTTTTTTGTTTTTGGTACTGAGGTTTAAATTCAGGCCTCACACTTGTTAGGCTGATATTCTACCACTTGTGCCACATCTCTAGCACTGTTTTTTTTTTTTTGGTCTGGTCGTGGGGTCTGAACTCTGGGCCTGGGCGCTGTCCCTCTGCTCTTCAGCACAAGGCTAGCGCTCTACCACTTGAACCACAGCGCCACTTCCGGCTTTTTTCTTTTTGCTTATGTGGTGCTGAGGAATCGAACCCAGGGCCTCAGGCATGCAAGGCAAGCGCTCTACCACTGAGCCACCTTCCCAGCCCTCTAGCACTGTTTTTTTGCTGGTTATTTTGAGATAAGATCTCAGGAAGATTTCTGCCTGGCTAGTATCAATCTGGGATCTTTCTTCTCTCAGCCTCCTGAATAGCTGGGATTACAGGGTGTCTTTTTTTATTTTTAATTTTTTTTTCGGTCATGAGGCTTGAACTCTGGGCCTGGGCGTTGTCTCTGTGCTCTTCAGCTCAAGGCGAGCGCTCTACCACTTGAGCTACAGCGCCACTTCTGGTTTTCTGGTGGTTTATTGGAGATCAGAGTCTCAGGGCCTTTCCTGCCCAGGCTGGCTTTGAACCGCGATCCTCAGATCTCAGCTTCAGGAGCTAGGATTACAGGTGTGAGCCACCAGCACCTGGCTAATTTTATTATTATTATTAAAGTTATAAGGACTAATGAGTTTTTGACACCACGTTATTTATGGTAAAACACTGGGTTGGAGCTTGGCTCAAATTCACCTGAGGATGCATGCTCCTCTGGACCATTCCTTCATTCTTGCTGTTACACTTTCGGGCTGAGATTGCAAAGTTGCTCCATTCATTATGGCACAGACGTTTGAGCATCCCTTTTTTATTATTTTATTTTTAGTTTGTCAAGGGGCTTGAACTCAGAGCTTAGGCGCTGTCAGCTTTTGTGCTTAAGGCTAGTTGAGCATCCCTTTCAACAGAGCAAGACTTCTGCCACATCCTCCCTTCAAATCAAGCATTGTCCTTCAGAGAAATATTTCCCTTTGTAAACGTTTTATGCCCAGAGAAACCATGTTCCCAGGTGTTCTTTCCAGGATAAGTGTCTTGGGCTGGGAAGATGGCTCAGTGGTAGAATGCTTGACTTGCATGCATGAGGCCCTGTGTTCGATTCCCCAGCACCACATAAACAGAAAAGTCCGGAAGTGGCGCTGTGGCTCAAGTGGTAGAGTGCTAGCCTTGAGCTGAAGAGCTGAGGGGCAGTGCCCAGGCCTAGAGTTCAAGTCCCACAACTGACAAAACAAAAAACAAAAAACTAAGATCTTTGCTCCAAATTTTGAACATGCAAACAAGGGCAGAGGGAGAGAGGGGGTGAGCAGCTCCCCCTGCGCACAACTTTTTTTTTAAAAAAACTAATTGTTGCATCTTGTTAAGGGAGTGTGAGGCGTGAAGCACAGAAAACAGTGCCCGTCAGCTTTTAATCAAGCTGGTCATCAATACAGTGTTTGTCTCTGAATTTCTGGCTTCTGTTTTCCACGCATGCCTCATTTTTTCTGAGCTATCTTGTCTCAAGTGTGAAAAAGTTCAGGGCCAGGGCCCTCATTGGTGCCTCTCTTCTTGGTGTGCTAAGGTATTAGAAACAGGAAGAGATCCCAGCTCTTCAGGGACAGGAAAGGTGGAGGGTGAAAATCTTCTCTTGGTGGGAGTTGCCGCAGTGCTGTGTGGCCTGAGCCTGAGTCTCGGCAGCTGTGGAGCAGAGCACACGACCAGAATCCATTATCACCTCTCCTTACCTCCATGGCTTCTCCTACTCAGAACCCTCTTGCCTTTTCCTAAGCAACTGGCCTCCTCCCACCTGCGTGGAGGACGCCCTCCACAGGTGTACCTGCACCCATGTGTGGGTAGTGGACGGTCTTTCTGACTTTTATTTGCATTACGAATAAACTTCCCTGGTTTCTCCTCCGTGATTTCTAACCTTTTTTTTTTTCAAGGCAAGTCCTCTCCCCCTCTTTCCTCCCCTCCCCCTCTTTCCCTCTCCTCTCCTCCTTTTTGTAATCCTCCCTGGAACCTGGCCAGTTCTGGTCCATTTATTGAAAACCGGCTGGGTACCAAATTCGCAACCCCATTTTACAGGTGAAAAACAAAATCAAGGCCGAGAGAGGGAAAGGCCCCAGCTCGGGGAGCGTGCAAACGGAGGTCAGCCCGCGCCACACCTGCACACCTGAGGGGCGTCATTACGGATGTCTACCCCAAGATCGGGTCGGGAAGGGTGGGGAGCAGCCCGCTCTCCGCCGCGACTCCGCCTGCCCAGGGACCTCGTGGTTCCAAGCCCAGGACGGGGACAGTGGACTGGGCCACCATGCCCAAGGGGCTTCCCTGCTGGGCCCAGGCCCGGCCCTGGCACCGGTGCCAGCCGGAGGGAGCTGGGCAGAGGCGGACTCGGCGGCGGGGCGCCAGGATCCCAGTTTCTGGGGAGGGGCGCAACCGCAAGCCCCGCCCTCCCTCCACGAGGCCCCGCCCCCGGCCTGGCCCCGCCCCGCGCCGCGCCCCTCAGGGACCGCGGGGGCGGGCTCTCCCGGCGCGGCCGCTTCCTGGCTCCTCACCGGCGCCCAGCCGGCCCGGCCACGTCACCACCCGGCCACGGGCGCGCGGCGGGGGCGCGCGGGCAGGGCGGGGGCGCGCGGGCCGGAGCGCGCGGGCAGGGCCTGGGGCACCGCGAGGCCGCGGCCCGGGACGTGGCAGCGCCCCGCGCGCCCGAGAAAGTTGCCTGGAAGTTTGCTGCCGCGGCGCGGGAGCGGCCGGCGGGACCATGAACGTGTTCCGAATCCTCGGCGACCTGAGCCACCTCCTGGCCATGATTCTGCTCCTGGGGAAGATCTGGAGGTCCAAGAGCTGCGCGGGTGAGGAGCGCCGGGGGGCCCCTGCCCGGACGGGGGGAATCAAGTCTGGGGGAGCCTGGCCACACCCTGCCCCCCCCGGCGGCCGGACAAGGGGCCCCGGGATTGCTCAGGGTGGGGACCCCGGCCCCAAGGGCTCAAAAAGAGCTCTTCCCCCCACAGTGAGGAGCGGGGCGCGGGGACCGCAGGGAGGGGCCCCGCCCCCAGTCACCCACTGGGGAGGACGCTCAGCAAGCGGCCCCCCTTTCCCCGGCAGGCTCCATCCTCTCTCCCCCCGCCTTGGGGTGACCCTGGGCGTGCTGTGGCCGGTGCCCCCCAGCCCAGGGCCCGGGACGCCCCAGGGGTCCGGCCTTCGCCCGGCTTGCCCCGCTCAGGGCTGGGCCGATGGTCTCGACATCGCGGGGCGGTGGGAAGCCGTCCGGCCTCCCGTGCCCTCCTCGTCCGGGTGGGGACGGTGGCGTGGGCGCAGGGGCCGCGTGGCGGGAGCGGCCTCGCGCGGCGGGGCGGGGCGGGGGGCCGGAAGGGCGCACAGCGTTGAGACTCCTGGGGGTGCGATCGTAAGAGGCCTCAAAGCCCGGCCCGGGGCCGTGGAAAGGCCCAGAGGATGACGCAGGGAGAGTGGTCCAGGGGGGAAAGGCCTTTTTGTATGGGGGGGGCGGGGACACCCCTCTTTGTGGAATCTGGAGGGGGAGCAGGTGGAGGCCGCACCCCCCCCCCCAGGGGCTGGCGGAAGCAGGGGGCTGGGGGGGGGATCCTTTGGAAAGGCAGAGGCCATCCGAGCGTGGAGAGGTCTGCACTCGAAGCCCTTTCAGGGTCTGGCTCCAGCAAAGTGGGCCAGGATGCTGAGGGGCGCCGGGGAGGGGGAGCCGGTCCCAGCCCGCGGGGCCACGCATTGTGCTAGGCTCCATGGCCGTCCAGGCAGCACTGAGCAAATGGGATGGCTTCTGAGGGGCCTAGGTGCTGGGGCGGGATGTGCACACAGTCCATCAGCACCAAGGGGCAGGCTCCATGCACGAGGCAGCCAGGCTCCACCCTGTGACCCTGGGCCCCTGCTGTCTGGCCTGCCCCTTGAGAGGGTGGGCTGCCCCTGGCTGTTCTTGCCCACATGGGCTCCAAGGTCCCCTTGGGGACTGGCCAGCCTTGGGCTGGCTATTCTGCTCTGGTCTCCATGCATGTCCTGCCTTGGTGGAAACCATTGATGTCTTTTGAAATTCAAAAGTACAAAAGCACAGCCGGTGTTGGTGGCTCACACCTATAATCCTAGCTGCACAGGAGGCTGAGATGTGAGGATTGTGATCTGAAACCAGCCTGGGCAGAAAAGTCTGTAAGACTTTTTTTTTTTTGGGTAGGGTTGTAGGGCCTGAACTCTGGGCCTGGGCGCTGTCCCTCAGCTCTTCAGCTCAAGGCTAGCACTCTACCACTTGAGCCACAGCACCTGTGGCTTTTTCCTTTTTGCTTATGTGGTGCTGAGGAATCGAACCCACCCAGGGCCTCATGCATGCAAGGCAAGTGCTCTACCACTGAGCCACCTTTCCAGCCCATTCGTGAGACTTTTATATCCAGTTAACCAGCAAAAAGCCAGAAATGGAGGTGTAGCTCAAGTGGTAGAGCACCAGCCTTGAGCAGAAAAAGCTAAACAAGAGCCCGAGGGCCTGAATCAGGGCGCATGCACGCACGCACGCACGCACGCACGCACGCATACACACACAGTGAGAGCAATGTGGTCAATGACCAGGGCTTCCAGGAGAATGGGTGTGAGGCCCAGGGCCCCACCAGCGGGGATGGATATGGCCCACAGGCTGCCTCCTGGACTGTCCTAAACAGGTTCGCTCTGATACGTATCTGTGCGGACACAGAGGTGGCCTTGTGTGTGTCCAGCCCAGCTTAGAGCTGGTCTTAGCCCCAGTCTGCACAGCCCCCCTGCCGTGGGCTCCCCTGTCCCTTTCCCCAACGTGCACAAGCCCCCTCAGTACTCTTATTTGGGTCTTCATTATTCCTCATGTCCACCTTCCCGTGTGTGAGAGGATGCTCAGTTTATAAGTGAGGAGCTAAGGCCTGCGTCCGCCGTCACAGGAGCGGCTTTAGCAGTGTTCCCCCTCAGTCGTTAAAAATGGCCCCCATGGAGGGAGGGAAAGTGGAAGAAAACAAGGGAGGGGGTAACAATGTTCAACAAGAAATGTACTGCTGGGTGCTGGTGGCTCACGCCTGTCATCCTAGCTACTCAGGAGGCTGAGATCTGAGGATCACGGTTCAAAGCCAGTCCAGGCAGGAAAGTCCATGAGATTTTTATCTCCAAAAAGTGGAAACTTTTTCTAGAAAACTGGAAGTGGCGCTGTGGCTCTAAGTGGTAGAGCGCTAGCCTTGAGCAAAAGAGCTCAAAGACAGAACCCAGGCCCTCAGTTCAAGCCCCATGACTGACAAAAATTAAAGAAAAAGTAACGCCCCCCAGCTCCTACAGCCTCCAGTGCCAGAGGCGTGCTTAGTAAAGCCATGTAGGTGTAGGTGTATGGTGGACCCAGCTGCTGGGTCAGGCCACACTGTTCTCAGCCCACACGCAGACATCATTTGGAATAAAATGCAGATGCCCCTACCCTGTTAGGGGAGCAGGGGGCTGGGGAAGAAGCTGCGCGGGCAGGAGCTCCTGAGCTGGGACAGGGCTTGGTTCTATTTTAAAGGCGTTTGGATGCCACTTATGAGCTTGAAGCAGTGACCAGTCATCATAGCTCATGCCTGCCATTCAAACTGGTCAGGAGGCAGACATCTGGAGGATCTGGGTTCAAGGCCAGCCCTGGGGAAAATTAGGCCCCTCTCAATGAGATGTGGGTGTGGTGGTTCATACTTGTCATCTTAGCTACTTGGGAGGTGGAAAAATGGAGAAATGAGGTCCAGGAAGACTGAACATAAAGTGAGAGCCTATCTCAAAACTAACCAAAGCAAATAAGGCTTGGAGCATGGCTCAAGTGGTAGAGTGCCTGTTTGGCAGTGTGAGGCCTAGAGTTTCAATCTCAACACTGCCAAGAACAGAAAAGAACTGGGAGGAGAAATTTAAAAGAAGGCTCATGCTTGTAGTTGTAACTACTCAGGAGGCTGAGATCTAGGGTTCATCATGGTTCAAAGCCAGCTTGGGCAGGAAAGTCCATGAGACTCTTATCTCCGGTTAATCACCAGAAAACCGGACGTGGCGCTGTGTCTCAAGTGGTGGAGCACTCACCTTGAGCTGAAGAGCTGAGGGACAGCGCCCAGGCCCAGAGTTCAAGCTCCATGACCGACCTCCCCCCCCAAAAAAAAAAAAAAAAAAAAGAAATTTAAAAAGTATCCCTTGGGATGCTAGATAGAAGATGGAATTGGGGTGGGGGACAGCAACAAAGGGTTTGGTGAGATCATTGAGGGGTCATTAGAAGAGGTGGCTGGGCTGAGGGGCAGTGGAATGGGGGAGAAATGGGGGAAGCTAAGTGATGTTGCGGGGAACTAGACGCTGGTGGCTCACACCTATAATCCTAGCTACTCAGGAGGCTGACATCTAAGGGTTGTGGTCGGTCGTGGTGCTTGAACTCTGGGCCTGGGCGCTGTACCTCAGCTCTTCAGCTCAAGGCTAGCACTCTACCGCTTGAGCCACAGTGCCACTTCCAGTTTTCTAGTGGTTTTTATTGAAGATAAAGAGTTTCATGGACTTTCCTGCCTAGGCTGGCTTTGAACTGCGATCCTTAGATCTCAGCCTCTTGAGTAGCTAGGATTACAGGCGTGAGCCACCGGGTGCCCTGCTCATCTGTGAGACACGTATCTCCAATAAACTACTCAGAAGAAGCTGGAAGTGGTATTGTGGCTCAAGTGGTAGAATGCTAGCCTTGAGCAAAAGGAGCCCAGGAATAGTGCCCAGGACCAGAGTTCAAGTCCCAGGACCGGCCAAAAAAAAAAGCAAAAATAACATTTTTTTTGGGGGGAGGGTCAGTTGTGGGGCTTGAACTCTGGGCCTGGGCACTGTCCCTGGGCTCTTCAGCTCAAGGCAAGCGCTCTACCACTTGAGCCACAGCATCACTTCTGGTTTTCTAGTGGTTTATTAGAGACAAGAGTCTCACAGACTTTCCTGCCCAGGCTGGCTTTGAACCGTAATCCTCAGATCTCAGCCTCCTGAGTTGCTAGGATGACACGTGTGAGCCACCAGTGCCTGGCTATGACTATAATTTTGATAACCAAGAAAGGGATTTTTAAACCTGCATTTTGGAAAATCAACTCAAATACTGCCCTCTTTGCACCTTCTTCCCCCTGTTCTGGTCTCCCTGGTAAATTGCACCCAGAGTCACTGAGTTGGTCCCCAAGATGGAGCTCTGGGGTTGAAGTGCAGAGACACCACAATACCCCACACAGCCTAGCTCATCACCCCAACCCCCCCTCACCCAGAATACTGGCTACTTGGTGTCCAAGTCTGTTTTTTGCCAAACCTGGGGTTTGAACTCAGGGCCTGGGCACTGTCCCTGAGCTGCTTCTGCTCAAGGCTAGCACTCTACCACTTGAGCCACTGCGCCATTTCCAGCATTTTCTGTGTATGTGGTACTGAGGAGTCAAACCCAGGGCTTCATGCATGCTAGGCAAGCACTCTACCACTAAGCCACCTTCCCAGCCCGTGTCCGAGTCTTTATGAGAGGAGTGGCTTCCAGCTTACTGAAGGGAGCAGGGACTCCAGTGGCGTGGGTGGGGCTTGTCCTGGTCCTCCAATCTGTGTCCTCATTGTCTCCTGTCCCTTCTTGGCACAGGCATCTCTGGGAAGAGCCAGATCCTTTTCGCACTGGTCTTCACCACCAGGTACCTGGACCTCTTCACCAACTTCATCTCCATCTACAACTCAGTGATGAAGGTGAGGGCAGCGGCCAGTGGCCGTGGTGACAGTGATGGTGGTGATGGTAGCGGTGATAGGATTGCTGCAGCCTGGTACCAGCTCCTGGTTTGTTGCATGGCCAGGGCCTCCAGCCTCCCTGCACTTGTGCCCCCTGTGCAGGGAGAAGGTGGTACTTGAATTTAGCGTAGAGGGTTTGCATGGGAGAAATGAAGTAAGGTTAGCCAGGCATTGGTGGCATACTCCTGTAATCCTAGCTCCTCAGGAGGCTGAGATGTGAGGATTTCTGTTCAAAGCCAGCCTGGGCAGGAAAGCTCATAAGACTTATTTCTCCAGTTAGCCAGTAAAATGCCAGCAGTGGAGTTGTTCAAGTGGTAGAGCGCTAAGTGTTGAGCGCAAAGTTAAGGGAGAGCACAAAGGCCCTGAGTTCAAGCCGCAGTGCTGGCACCAAAATAAACAATAATAAGCAAGGTAATTGATGCCAGTGCAGAAAACTCCACCATATAACAAGCATCTAATAAAGATTAGCCACTGCATACCCAGATGCTAAAATACACCCATTAGATGGGTGCCTTGAGCTTTCAGAAAACTTTCCTGGCTGGCCACTGGTGGCTCACGCCTGTAATCCTAGCTACTCAGGAGGCTGAGATCTGAGGATCCCGGTTCAAAGCCAGCCCGGGCAGGAAAGACTGTGAGACTCCTATCTCCAATAAACCACTAGAAAACCGGAAGTGGCGCTGTAGCTTAAGTGGTAGAGCACTTGCCTTGAGCTGAAGAGCTGAGGGACAGCGCCCAAGCCCAGAGTTGAAGCCCCACAACTGACCAAAAAAAAAAAAAAAAAGCTAGAAACCTGGAAGTGGCGCTGTGGCTCAAGTAGTAGAGCGCTCGCCTTGAGTTGAAGAGCTGAGGGACAGCGCCGAGGCCCAGAGTTCAAGCCCTATGACAGACCAAAAAAAAAAAAAATTTCCTGGCTGCCCATGCAATCTTCTCTCCTGCCTCTGGACCAGGCTCATGAGGCAAACAGGGCCCTTGTTCTCACTCTACTCCGATTTTAGAGACACCAGCCAGCCATTGATCAGGAACAGGGCTAGGCAGATAATCCAAAACCAGCCATGGTCAGGAAGTGGGGTTGGCTAAGGTCTGTGACAAGGAACCAGCCTGTGGCCATTGGAGGAAGGGCATTCCATGCCGAAGGCATTGCTGGGGCCAAAGCCCTTGGACAGGAGTGAGGGCTGTGTAGTGGGTGACTGAGGAGAGACCAGCAGGGATGGGAGGGCGGGCAGTCTTGAGACGGGGACGATGCTGGGGCTTGGGACTGTGGCCTGTGTCCACTGCAGCCCCAAGGCGGTCAGGGGCCACGTCTGAATGAAGCCAGCGTATGCTCCTCCTAATCAGAGAATGTCACAGAAGGACCAATGGTCCTGTAGCAGAATGCTCGCCAGCCATGACACAGAAGCTGCAGGCTTCTTGGTGGCTGTGCTGCCACTGCTGAACCCTTGAAAAGGACTCTCTGGTTCTGCTTGCCAGACACTTTTGATTCTTGGCCAGGCTGGCCTTGGACCTTGATCCGCTAGCCTCTACCTCCCAACTGCTGGATTGTAGACATGCGCTATCACACACTGCTACACCTTTGACCCTTTGTGGTCCCGTTTACAAAACAGTGGCTATTCCTCGGAAGGGTCATGAAGGCAGGTATGGTGGAGATGGGTCTTTGAGTTGGAGACAGTCTGAGCTGTTCCAAAAGTAAAATTGGCAGGCGGGGTGAGGGAGTTTGTGGGCCCCGGGCACCACACACACACTTGGTTTGTTAACACAAGACACAAGACACTGCCCTGGGCTGGGAAGGTGGCTCAGTGGTAGAGCGCTTGCCTTGCATGCTCGAGGCCCTGGGTTCGATTCCTCAGCACCACATAAGCAAAAAGAATAAAAGCCGGAAGTGGCGCTGTGGCTCAAGTGGTAGAGCGCTAGCCTTGAGCTGAAGAGCTGAGGGACAGCGCCCAGGCCCAGAGTTCAGGCCCCACGACTGGACCCAAAATAAATAAATAAATAAAGTAATTAAAAAAAAAAAAAAAGGACACTGCCCTGAGGCTGGGAGAAAACTTGGTTTCCATTTCTTTCTCTTTTTAGGTGGTTTTTCTCCTCTGTGCCTATGTCACAGTGTACATGATCTATGGGAAATTTCGGAAGACATTTGACATTGAGAACGACACGTTCCGTCTGGAGTTTCTCCTGGTGCCAGTCATCGGTCTCTCCTTCCTGGAGAACTACAGCTTCACACCATTGGAGGTGAGGAGGTGCTCGGCCCCAACCCCGAGTGCAAGGCTGCCCCTCTGCCTCACTTTTGCCTGCGATGCTAGGCTATTAAAGTTGTACCCATCGCCCAAGAGCGGGTCACTGAGCTCCACATGGTGGGGGGAGGCTGGCCTGTAGTAATCATGCTGCTGTGTCCCAGACTAGCAGATGCAGTCCAGGCCTGGGTGGTAGCCTTGGTGGCAGCAGCCTCTTTGGAGATCCTGATGTAGACTCACTATTTTGCAATCTTAAGAAAATTACATTCTGAAGTGGGAATGTGGCTTGGGAGTAGAGCACTTGTCTAGCATGCATGAAGCCCTGGGTTCCATTCCTCAGCACCACATAAATAGAAAAAATTCGAAGTGGCGCTGTGGCTCAAGTGGTAGAACGCTAACCTTGAGCAAAAAAAAGCAACTCAGGGACAGTGTCCATGCCCTGAGTTCAAGCCCCATGAGTAGGAGGAAAAAAAAATTACATCCCAAGATAGGCACTGGTGGCCCACACCTGTAATCCTGGCTACTCAGGAGGCTGAGATCTGAGGACTGTGGTTTGAAGCCAGCTGGGAAAAAAAACAGAAGTGGAGCTATGGCTCAAGTGGTAGAGCACTAGCCTTGAGTAATAAAAAGCTCAGGTATGGCACCCAGGCCCCGAGTTCAAGACCCGGGACCCTACCACTCCACCAGCCCCCTACAAATTCCAACCAGATGCAGGTGGCTCCCACCTACTAATCTGGACTGTTCAGGCGGCTGAGATCTAAAGATCATTTCGAAGCCAGTCTGGGTAGACAAACCTATGAGGTTTGTATTTCCAACCAACCAGCACAAAGCCAGAATGGAAGTTGTGGCTCAAGTAGATGAGTACCAGCTATGAGCAAAGTAGCTAAGGAAAAGTGCCCAGGCCTGTGCTCACACCGCAGTACCCGCACATACCCACATCCACACCCATTTCATATTTATAGAGCTCCAAGGGTAGAGCTGCAGTATGCAAGTTTGGATATGGCCAACAGTAGAGAGCTCGCACTGGAGGCTCTGGACTGATCTCCAGCACTGTAAATGAGCACATGTCCATAAAAGTTAAAAAGCTCCTCCAAGTGCTGGTGGCTCATGCCTGTAATCCTAGCTATGTAGGAGGCTGAGATCATGGTTCAAAGCCAGCCTAAGCAGGAAAATTTGAGACTCTTCAAATTAACCGCCAGAAAACTAGACTGGAAGTCTAGTGACTGGAAGTGGTAGAGCCTAGTCTTGAGCAAGAGCTCAGGGACAGCGCCCAGCCCGAGTTCAAGCCCCCCCCTCCCCCCCAACAAAAAGCCATTTGCTCTGGTAAGCACACCTGGTCAGCATTTATAGCCCCCTAAAGCCTCTGCCCTGCCCAGCCTCCTCTGCTTCTCTTGGGCAGATCCTCTGGACTTTTTCCATCTACCTTGAGTCAGTGGCCATCCTGCCCCAGCTCTTCATGATCAGCAAGACAGGAGAGGCTGAGACCATCACTACCCATTACTTGTTCTTCCTGGGGCTCTACCGACTGCTCTACCTGGCCAACTGGATCAGGCGGTACCAGACGGAGAATTTCTATGACCAGATCGCAGTGGTGTCAGGAGTAGTGCAGACCATCTTCTACTGTGACTTCTTCTACTTGTATGTGACCAAAGGTAGGCTCAGCAGTGCTGCGGGTACACACCTGCTCCAGATACCCAGACACCAGTGGAGCTTCCCCCTATCACTTCCAGTAAAGTGCTGGTGCGGGGGTAGAAGCAGACCCAGTAGTGTGTCCTGTGCAAGCCAGTGACATTTGATATGCTTGACTGGGCATGTTTAGGAGGCGTTCCAAGAAGATATAATGGTGCATGCCTAGTGCCAGCACTAGGGAGGCAGTCAGGAGGAACCAGAGAACTGGAGTACTCACCAGAGACTCAGCCCAGCCACGGTGATTTGCCCACAGAGCCACAATAGCCAAAGGAACAGGATGGCATTAACTTGCCAGGGGACCAAGGGTCACTTGGGAAAAAAAACATTATTCCAGCAATCCTAAGATACCCTAATGTGTGGCTTAGGTACGTGAGGTGGAGCTCAAACCACGGTGGCTGCTACCAGCAGTTGGTGGAGATAAGGACAAAACGGGCTGAGTGGAGGCGAAGCTGAGACTAGAGGCCTAGAGTTTAGCACGTGAGGGAGGCGTGAGGGGGTCGTCAGCGCACGCAAGGTGGGAGCTGGGAGCCTCATGACTAGCCTGCTTCCAAGTCCTCACACCTGCTCACAGCTACGCGTGGAGACGAGATCAGTCATAAAACGGCCTTTTAATCAGCCAAAATTCTAAGTTCATTTCCACTTTTTTTTTTTCCAGTCCTTAAGGGAAAGAAGTTAAGTCTTCCTATGCCAATTTGAGGACTCCCAGAGATGATCAACACTGTAACGAGGACAGTGCAGGATTTGGGACCCTATGTACTAGTGAAAAAAAAATACTTGTGTGGATTAGAGTGCAGCACGTTTGTCTAGCCACCAAGGCCTTGTTAATCCCTCTCAAGTACCACCCTATGAACACCCCAGAGCAGGAAACACACACACACACACACACATACACAGTGTCAACTGCAGGTGACAGTCACAGTTCATTTCCTTATCACATTCAAGCACAAGCAAACCAAATTGACCATTCTCGCCAAGCATTAATTTTGTGCCTCCCCTTTAAGCAAATCAATTTCTGCGGAGCTGGACACTAAGCGCTCATCCCCAGGTATCCTTAGTCTTGTGCCTCAAACTGTCTCACATTAGGACCAATCTACACTAAGGTCGGCCGGTCCCACCAGGTGCTACGTGGGCTGTCTACTCAAGTTGTGTCTTGAAGCAAAAGTAGTGTTAAGGACAAGCAACTATTCAGAAGCTTTAGAGAATAAACAGCTCACACCGTATTGTCAAGTGTTTTATTTATACCTACAAAAGGAAACAAGATGGTATCAAAAGGACAATTTACAAACTAAGAATAGTAACATTGCTCTTAGCCTGCATCCTGTGCCTCAACATCACACGCCTACAAATCTTTCAAGTCTTAACACAACAGGAATGTGTTCAGAGACCAGCAAGGACATGAGGAGAGCACTGATCCCAAGCAAAAGCCACTAACCTTTTAGTTGAGAGGTCTGCACAATAAACTGTTGGGGGAGGGGGAAAGGATGGGGAGCAGCAGCCCCTGGTTTAATACTGAAGCCCTTTCCACTACTACCACCAGCCAGCCAGGATTCACCACTCCTACTCTCAACCCAAGAGCACAACCTCAGAGCTATGCTCAGGCCACCAAGAGCTTTTGCAATGGCCAATACACTGTTATTTTCTGCTCACAACATTCCTCACTGAAGAGGGCAAGCAAGCGACTCAGATACTACACTGCTCACATACCCAGACAGCCTGTCCCAGAAACAGATGTGTTTGAGAGCCATAGAGTAGGACCTAATCTATTTAAAGGGGGGGAAAAAAAAAATCAACCTGAATGTGGCTGCAGAAATGTCCACAACAGCGTGCGTGGCCAGTGCTCAGACATGTTTTGGGAGCAGAGAAACACGGCACTTTGGTTGCAAGCACAGAGCAGTTTTACGTTTCTTCTATGCCTACTGTCCTCCCCACTGGGCCTCAACTTCTACAAGATGGGGAAAGAAAAGACAAAGAAAGTTGGATAATAAAAAAAAAAAGGCTGTCCAAGTTTTCACATGCACAATTTCAGCTTATGCTGACAACCTACCTGTATCTGCTGCACACTGAATCATACTTTGAGAACCCCTCAGAAACCATCCCTTTTCTCTCCCTGAAGGATTTTAAAGGGAAAACAAAAATAAAACCTTCAGAGATCATCTTAATGGTCAGGTATTACACACCAGCAAGCACTCAAAAGCCACAGCCCAAGAAGGCAGCTGGGGGGCCTTCCTCCTCTAACTGCCACCGGAAGCACAGGAGGGGGCTCAGGGGTGGAGCCCTCCTCCCACACAGGGTCAGGCAAAGGCCCGGAGCCGACTGTCTTGCTGCCCTACCTGGGCACAGTGAACTCAGAAGCAGAGAATGCTTTCCAGGTCCATCTGCTGTGGCTGGCAGCTGGGTAAGGCATACTTCCAGCAGGGGGTCAACTCACCTACCTTCACATGGAGGCAAAATAAAAAGGCCCCCAGAGCGTGTCCTAGACACTACCTACCTGTGGAGAGTACGCTGCGCACACCAGCACACCAGTCGTTAGAAAGCACTGCAGGACTGGCGGAGACCAGTGCAGAGTGAAATCTTGTCAAGATAATTTGGTCAAATGGGCAGTGGCGCCAGCAAAGAGTTGCTCTCATTCTACTTCTACAAATACTGAGTTTAAAAGGAAAATCATCTGCCCACTTCGAGTACATTGTTTCTAATTAAAGGTGCCTTTTACACTGCAGGTGAACGCATTTCTGTGAGCATTTGTGTATGTTCATTTGCTCACAGCAGTCTGGCTAGAAAGTGAATTTCATAGATGGTCCTTGGTTGCCTGGGCCCATATGCCAAACCAATACCATCAACTGGTGGTTTTAAATTAAAAACACATCCTAATGACAATGACAAAGCAGTGTCTTCAGTCATCTGGGCCTGAACCCTGATCAAACTTGAGCAATGGTAAACCCATTATGGGAAATCCCTCTCGGCTTTCTAACCCAGTTCTGAGAGCAATTTAGAGCACAGAGGCCTTCTTCCTCCTCCTCCTGCCCAAGTCAGCCCTCCCACCCCCCCAACTCAGGGCTCCCACAAAAGGGCCATTAGGTTTACATTTGAAGAGGAAAACTAGCTCAAATATCCTCAACATGCAAGTTGGGGGAAATTCATCTCCTCCAGTCAGACATATATATGTATGTGTATATATATATATATATATATTTTTTTTTTTACAAAACCTGTTACTGAAGACTGGATCACTTTTGGTGGGCAGAAGAAACCTGGCAGTGAGTTCTAACTAATCTGCATGAAAAGACAATCACAATGGTTGGGAGGGGGAAAAACAATGAAAGAAGTGTGGAAGAGCAGGGGAAAGAAGAAAAAAAAACAAAAAAAAAGGAAGGACAGCGTTCCTTTAGATGTTTTAGCTTGTGGGAGCCATTTGCCAAAGGGCTCACTTCCGTGAGGGGGGAGGGGGCGGGGGCGGGGGCGGGTACTGGTAGGCCGTCTGCCCCATGTAACCTATCATGTTGGTAGCTCCGGGAGGCTGTGCAAACTGTTGTGACATCAGAGGCTGCGGCTGCTGCCCAGACCGGCCTATCGCGCTAAACTGCTGGCTCGAGCTCTGAGAACTTCTCCCAGCTGAGGTGGTGCTACTAGCTCCGTACGTGCCAGCACCATACTCCTGGGCTGTATAGCCACTGGTGCCATACGCAGCTGCCCCATAGGTGCCTTGACTGTAGGTATATTGGCCTGCTTGGGCTCCAAAGGCAGAATTTGGACTTCCATAGCCACTGCCATTAGCATAGCTGGCTCTATCGGTTTCACTGCGATCCCGATAGCTCGCAGAGTCTCTCCGTCCACCATCTTTGACTCCTCGAAGCCTCCGGTCACACTCATCCTGATACATCAGGTTGGGGTTGTTGGCAGAAGAAGTAGTCCGGTATCGAGAGCGGCCTCCTGGTGGGAGGGTACAGGTATTTTTTAATGGCAGGTATGTGATCCACGCATAATATAAAAAATTAAATGGGGACGAAGTGTACAATTTGTTCCCTTCATCTGGTAGCCAGGCCAAGCTAAGTCAGTGTTTTATTCCACTTTTCACCTTTTAGGGTCTTTTCCTGAGGACCACCAAAAACTGCAATCTTAACTATCTTACTATATCAAAGTGGGAGCTGCTGGGCACTGGCAATAGCGCCTTGCCACTCAGGAGACTGAGATCTAAGGATTGCAGTTCGAAGCCAGCAGGGGCAAAAAAAAGTCTCAAGAGACTCTCAATCACCAGAAAACCAGAACTAGTGGCTCAAAGTGGTAGAGCGACAAAGCTCGAGACAGTGCCCAGTCCCGGAGTTCAAGCCCCACAACTGCCCAAAAAACAAGCCACCACAAAAAACCAACTGGAAGCCATGAAGCCTACTTTATTGCACAACTGTTTTTAAACATTCCAGCCACTGGGGTGCTGGAATTACAGACATGTGGCATTACAGGTACCTGGCTGGTTTAGCTTCATTTTAAACAGGCCAAGTACTGCTAAATCGCAGTGTCAGTTTAAGACTAGTAACCGACAAAAATGCTGGGCTGCTTAAGTAGCACAGTCATGCGATAAGACTTTAAGGAAAGGTGATGAATAACAACCTTAAGCATTTCGCCACATTCTCTCTAGCAACACACTGCACAGGCTTAAAAAAGCAAGGCACAAATAAACAGAAAAGGGATCTTGGCAGTACCTGGAAAACTCCAGGGTTTACCCTTACCCCCGCCACCGCCGCCGCCTCTGTGGTCCACCAGCTGCATCAGCTTTGGGTTAATGGCCTGATTGGCCTCTTCTAGCACTTTGATCAGCTCTCTGGCCTGCTTTAGGTTCCCTGGGGTGAAGAAAGTATAGGCAGTGCCCTTGTTGGTGCTCCGGGCTGTTCGGCCGATGCGGTGCACGTAATCCTCTGAGCTGTTAGGATAGTCATAGTTGATCACAAACTTGACATCTTCCACGTCTTCAGCGGCAATGTCGAGTCAGTGTGTAGGTTGACGTGGCAGAGAGAGAGAAGGCAAAGGACGTGCCCACAACAGGAGGGAAGCACGAATGCAGATGACAGCAAGAGGAGAGAAGATCAAATTAGTAACCACTCTGAGCAGGAACAAAAAATGAAAGACTCATCCCAACAGAGCAGAAGAGGATTAGTGATTCTTGCCCATCTTTGCTCTGAATCCTAAGGCAATCCGTTTCGACCATCCCAACTCCTGCTACTTCTGCAGTAAGTGATCTACTGCAGGAGCTGCACCATGGTCTTCAGACCTGCGCACTCCTGCGCCAGACTCCTCAGAGCCGGATGTACACAGCATGAGAGCAGACTCCTCTGAGAAGACGCAGGGTCAAATCACTTCTACTCTGTTGGGAGAAGCCTGGCAAAAATCTACCAACAACACAATAAACTTACCTTGCACCAGTCACAGAGCAACACACACAAAAAAGAGCTTCAGTACCTTACTACTACATTCCCAAGGTAACTTACAACATTCAGGTTAATTCTTTCCTTGCTCTTAAGTTTACAAAACTGATCAGCGCCGAAGCACACCTCTTTTCCTCTGCAGACACCCAGGATTACTTTTCCCCCTTCAATTGCCACAAGAGCACATTACACTAAAATTTCACTCTACTACTAAGCCCAGCTTCTGAAGGTTTTTTGTTTGTTTTTGTTTTGCTCAACTCAACGTTATTTCAAACCAAGTACCGTTTCCACAATCAGAGACTGTCCATGGGAACTAGGTAATGAAATGCATTGCCAAAAACAAAGGGAAAACCCTTGAAACATGAGACACATTTAATGCAGTCTGCGGCTGGGGACCGGGCTGAGCCACCTACCGGAAAGCGTGTAAATGTTAGTGTAATGCATTCACTACGTGGATTACCTACTTCAACCAACAAATTTAAGAATATAACAGAATCCTAATGTTTGGTGGAAAAAAAAATCTGCATTTTACAAAGAATATTCCGGAAATATCCTAGATAAAACACAGATTTTTTGTGATATAAATAATTAAAAAACATTCTCTGTTTGTTACCAGACCGATGCACACTCCCTCCTCCTTTGGGAAACCGCTGCAGCCGATCCCGTCTCTTTGTCTTTTATTTTTGGCGGCCTCCTTTCGAAAACTCCGCCTTCTGACACGGGACCACTGGAGCGCGGGGAGCATGCATCAAGGGTCCGTGGCAGTGAGAAGTCCCCACACACGCTCGCTCTGTGAACTGGCTTAGATGCTTCTCTGTAGCCCCATTTGGTTGCCAAGCACCGGAGAACCTGGGTTCGGGTAAAAATTTCAGGTCCTCCAACGCCTCCCCCAAGGATAATTGGGGTGATTGTAGAAAAAAATAATTATTAAAAAAATGTTACATCCAAAGGGTCAGACTGCATCTATTGCCCAGACTGGATTAATTTCAGGGGGATGGGGAGATGATTAGAAAAAAAAAAAAATCGGCTGTTGTTACGGGCTTGGGGAGAGGGGGCGTTAGGTCTGTTTCTTATTACAATAAAGGCTCCTCGGTCGTTACTGACCCCTAAAGTCCTGAATCACACCAGAAAGACGAGAAGGCACTTATCACAGGGGGCAGCGTGAGTCTCCAGCTAGAGTCGTTGATGTCATAAAGAAAAAAAACTTAAAGAGGGCAGGAGTGGATGGAGGTAAGGGGCGGGACGATGCGTGCTCACGACCACATCTTCAGAGCCTCAACACCACTCCTGAGCGCTCACACCGAGTTACCGAGCGTGAGTGTGGCAGGCAGAACCAAAATACTGCCCTTGGATGCACAGAAGCAGCAAGCAGTGTGGCTGCAGCCAATAGTTCCCTTGTGGAGGGGCTCAAAAGGGGCAGACAGGGTGCAAGTTCTTCAGCTTAGAAAGATGTCCTGTGTGTGCACATAGCTGGCCGAGGGCACAAAGGAGCAGGCGCAGAATCTGGCTTCTCCAGGCAAGCGCGCCCTGCTGTTATTTGTGCACTGCCACAGTATTATCTTGCTGTCTTTAGAGGAGATGCTGTAGCAGGGTAAGAGATTGAAACATACGTTAATGTTTTGGCCAGCTGCCTAGGACGAGGACCTTGGGTCCAGGAAGCCCTGGCAAGGCCCGCGTCTCGATGGCTAACTAGGAGAGGGTCTACGACTAGCCAACAGGCTCATCTAGAGCGGCTTCGGGCCAGTGGAGATTTGCCTTGGCCATGTACTGAGTGATCTGCAGTTGATAGCAAAGCTTCTGTTAAAAAACAAAACAAAATCAATTCAATGCTTTTAGTTCAACAGTGTGTAGGTTCAACAAAAAAAGGAGAAATTAAAAAAAAAAAATCCCAGCGGACAGGGAGTAGTGGTTGGCTGAAGATGACTATGAAAATCATGGGACTCCGGGAACTTACCTGAGGGAACATCTAAGAGACCATCGCTCGGCGGGAAGGGAAAAAAGGCCTGGTGACTCAGCTGAAAATCGCACCCTTGTCTGTGAGGTAGAAGCCTTCACTTTCCAGGATCTTGTAGGACCTTGGTCAGAATTCTGCCATGTTGGTGGGTTTTCTCCCTCCTTTTGATTTTTACAAGGCAGCGAACAAAGGGGCCCAACACAAGCTGAGGTTGCGTAACAAGAAACAGACTCGGGTTCCTTTCCTGTCCCCTCTGTGGACGAGGGGAGGTGGGATGACAGTCTAAATTATTCTAATGGTAGCCAATTGATGTCATTTAAAATGCAGGGGACATGGAACAAATGTTTTTAATTGTCTAGGCAAGATGCACAAAGAAGCTACCAGCACATAGCAAGCCTGTTTTAAAAAAAAAAAACAAAAACACCATTACTGAAAGCTATGATGGAAAGCGCTTTCAGAACTCCGCCTCCTCTCCCAACAGGCCCAAGATCTAACGGCAGACCAAGACATGACCTTGGAGGGCAGAGACAGCTTCCTGTCGTGGCTGTAGGCCACCACCTCTGAAGGAGGGAATGAGAAGTCTAACAGGTAATGGTTCCCATCACTTCCCTGTTCGTTTGAAGGCTATCCTCTTCATAGTAAATAGTATAAGGGCATATGGTACTTCTCACCTTACTTGGCAGGAAATTAAACACCTATCAATACTCTAATTCTAGATTTCCTTGTGATAGAATACCCCTCCCCTCCAACACAGGGTCTTGATACCGTCCCAAACTGGCCTCAAGTTCACAATCCTTCTGCCTCAGCCTCGTGAGGACTGGAATTATTGGAATGTACCACCACACCCAGCTAAAATGCCTTAAAATATTAAAGTTGTGAGTCAGACTTTAGTTCAAAATAATGGGATAAAAGTACCACAGGTTATTTGTACATCATT